ATGTCCGTTTGCCACACTTGTTTTTTCAACCGTTACCGAAATTTTTATTTATTTGTATACTTTTATTGATCATTTAATAAAATAAAATATTATTGATACCTTTTATTTCAAAAAATTTCATGTAGTTTTTAAATATATAAATTTTTTATTTGTATACCAATGTTTAAATAAAATAAATTGAAATTTTTTTGATATCTTACCTCATTTTTTGAAATGTGGTAAACACTGGGGGAGAGAGCATATAGTAAAACCACTTAAAATGATGGATTACCAGTGCACAACTTTTTGAATAAAACAAAAAGAGAGCTTTAATTTGTTTAACTTTAACAAATGGACCAACTTTTAGAAAGTCTCCACCCATATGTATATGCTTTTTTTATTTTTGTTATAGAAATTAAAGTAAGTGTCCATTCAATATTTTTGTTTTTTTTTTTTAAAACGGAAGTCGTAATGGCCAACGCACTGTCGGGTGCACTGGTAATCCTTTGTCTAAATGGCGCTCATTAATTGGGATTTGAAGTGGTTAAACACGGAGTACTTTATGCCTTTCTATCCCATAAAAAAAATGGTTGTCATAAACATGTTTGACTTAAATTATTTTTAGTTAATTTCTTTACTTCCAATGCGCGACAAAGCTTGCTCCCCAACATCTTTTTCAATGTAAATATGTTGATGAAAAATTTGCATTCTTTCTTAAATGATATTTGACTCTATTACAAGGTAGTATCTGTTTATATTATACTTAATCTAATAACGCACAAAAAGTCAATTCTTCTGCATCTGCTGATATTCGAATCTGAGCAGACTTTCTCGTAAATCCTGGGGAGTGAACTTGCCACTACTGAAGCCAGGGAACAGAGAGGTTATTTTTTAACTCTTTGAACATTTTCCATTCCTTTCTTACCAATCAAAGTGTAAATGTTTTACCATTTTACTCCGTCACTCGTGACAAAAATGCTCATAACAAAATGTGGCCAATACTTTTCCATATAGCTTCTTGCTATTGTAGGCTTCCATATACCAAATCACAATCATTTGTAGAAGACTTGAAGGACTTCTTCCCATTTTGGTCCAAAGGCATTAAATGACCCAAGCAAGAGAATCACAACCGACAAGCAAATTTTATTTGTACTGAACAAAATATAATCTCGCAGCCAAAGGGATTTGTTTGGTGGCTACACCACCACTTCCAACAACAACCGTTGCGGGCCGAATTAAACATCAATAAATAAATCCATCCTCCAAAATTTGTACTTATAATGTACTAGACAAACTTTGGACCTGGACCTCGATTAAATTAAAAAAAAATTAAAATATTTTAGTCTAAAAATTGTTTCATAGATTTTTCTTGTTTAGAACTATTACATATTCAAATTCTTATATCAATATGCAATACAAATCAAGAGTAATTGATGATTCAAGCTCGTCCGATTTGACTCAGAAAAATCCAACTAGATGAATGCATTGTGACGGAGGGAGTATCTCAAATGATTCACACTTACATTTCGTATCAATAGAAGTATGAGATCGATGAGTTATATTGAGAGAAAATGTCAGTGCAAAATCTTGAGATCGCATTGATATTTTGAATTAACGTAAGCCATCAAAGTGTAAGTAAAAATATTTGGAATATATTTTAAGGTATTATCATTGGGTATACCTAGTAAGGCTAGCATGATTGATTAAACATAAAGTATTAAATTGAAATGGAGAAGTAATTTCAAATCCAAAAGATACACTCTTTCCGTCCCCAAATAGATCGCAATCTTTTTTTCTCTCCCATTTTGATAAATTTTGTTTATTTTCGTTGAATATTTAATAAAATAAAATATTCTTATCACCTCTCATTTCGTAAAACTTTTAACATAATTTTTTAATATGTAATTTTTATTTTTTAAATGCAAAAATTTGCAAATAAAATAATTTTTAAAATTAAGAATTTTTTGTCTCGTAACGGATGGATGTAGTTTGGGTTAATTCTCGTACAAAAGAAGTCAAATCACAAAAAAGGAAGATGCCAAACCAAGTAGTACTACTCATCTGTTAAGGCCGTAGTCAAAAACTTCATCTTCTTTGTTCCGGACTAGGAATCCGATGCGCCAAACGGAATATGGACTCAATTTCCATCTCAATTTAACTTGTTTGTTCATAATTTACATGATCAAATTTTAGTTACTTTTTTTTTATTTTTGTCAATCAATTGATAAAATCTTAGTTTAGTCTTTGGATATGTACGTATAAAATTTACAAGTATGTTTTTAATTTTACATTTATTTTCAAATAAATAAAGTTAAACTACTTCAGTCGAACATCGTGAAAAGAAACATGCAACTCAAATTAAGGCGGATGGAGTATTTTCTAATTTTTTGGTACAATAGCGAAAAAGGTGCATCTATCTATTATTAATCTCAAATAGATGTAAAAAAAGTATATGCATATATTCAAAAAAAAAAATACATCAAAATTAAAAACCCCTAAAGAAACTTATGAAATTAGTTTATGAAAGGGTTTGTTGCGTACCCAGCCTTCAGATTATTTTGAGTAGAGTTATTATTAATTTTTTTTGAAAGTATTACTCTCATCATCCTAAAATTATTTTTAAATTATTTTATCAAATAATAAATGAAAATAGACAAATATAATGAATAATATTTGACTACATGAATAATACCGAGTAATTGAAAACACAATTTTAATTATCAAGAGTACCAATTGATGTTGAGTTGGAAGGCACTTGGCTTTTGGATTAGTGCGAGGTTATTGTTGATTTAATATAACTTTCAATAATTTCTCAACGAAAAGTTAACCGAACGTCGTCCGAAGATTCATCTTTGGTGCGAAAGTCAATGCCATCATTTGTGGAGAATTTATACAAAATGAAGGTGAAAGCACGCCACATACAAATCTTGGGGTACAAATAGCTAGGGCTGTAAATGGATAACCGAAAATCCGATTACCGTCAGCATCCGTATCCGTTTAAAGAGGAAATATCCGTATCCGTTTTAAACGGATATTATCCGTATCCGATTAAAGATATCCGATTACTAAACGGATGCGGATTTGGTAATTGTATATCTAATCCGTTTAAAATCCGATCCGAACATGCATCCGTTTAAATAATCGTTTATCCGAATATCCGATCCGTTATGCATAGTTTTTCCTAATTTTTTTATGTTTTTATTTTATTTCTATATTAATATTTCAAAGTATAAGACATTTTTATATACAAAATAAATGTGTAGACACATAAAAATATGTGCAGATATATAAAAATATGTGATATGCGTGCTGTGTATATCTTTTTATCAGATGAAGTTATTGTAGAATATCATAAATAATGAAAACAAAGAAAATATTTATCCCATAACAAATTTTAGTTGATTTAATAATAGTTTGACCTTAATCTAATTTAAAATTAAAGTATTGTTTAATTTCATTTTAAAAATTGGAAACGGATACGGATATATCCGATATCCGACCGATATCCGACGGATGCGGATACGGTTTTGATTTTCAGTATCCGTCAAGATCCGTATCCGAATTCGATATCCGACAAAAATAAACGGATACGGATTTGGTAATGGCACATCCGATCCGATTAATATCCGTTTACACCCCTACAAATAGCTTAATCCTTAAGCTATTTGTACACATCAATTTCTACATCACATATTTGCACATTCATTTTGTGTCAAGTTAATGTTAGAGTGATAGTTCACACAGACGCAAAATGTTAGTACAAATTTTTGTTAATAAACATCATTTTGTGTCAGTGTAAACCATTAAAATGTTAATGTATACATTTGTTGTAACTTTGGGGTAGAATGGTTGATAGCTTAATCCAAATTTATAACCGATCTGTGAACTTGCCCGGCAGCCCAATATTTACGCTACAACCGCTTATACGGTGTTTCTTGTACATTTGCAACGATTATTCATTTACAAAATACTCATTTACCTCTTTCTGAATATACTTGACGAATGGAATAAACGAACGGAGTTGAACGTAAGGATATAAAGATATACGTTACACTCACTTCGCTATCTTGACTAATCAATTGGGGAATGGGGGCTTTCGCTTTCTTTTAATAGAAGTGCGCCAAACACTCGATATTGATCGGGAGACTACCCGGCAAACTAATGGGCTATGACCCTTTAATTTCTTTTCAAAGGTGAAGGGTTTCGACAAATCTCTGTTTTTTTTCAATGACTCAGTATTCACGGAAATGAATGGTTGTAAACAGATTCGCTAGTTGGCACTCTGAGTGCATTGATGCAGAGAAGTTGGAATAGTGTATATTCATTTTTTTAAAATTCAATTATACTTGAAAGTAAATATTCAATTAATCGAGAATGAGAATTTATTTGCTCGAAAATAAGTATTTAGCTACTTGTAAATGAATACTCATGCGGATGTACGGAAAGTATCCTACATCCAGATGTATGGTATATGTACTCGTTTAAATGAAAATAGTAATTAAATTAAAAAATGGGAACGGTAAATTTATGCTCCATCCTTCCCAATATTTGTTAAAATTTTACTTTTTATGTTACGATACAATATAATTTGAGAGTAATTGAAGTTTAAAATTTGTCTAATTTGATCTCAAAAGTCAAACTAGATAAATAAACTGCAAAAAAGTATACCACTTACACATGTTTACCTTCAAACATACACCCTCGCTTATGTATTAGTTCTTCACAATTGACTAGACATAAATATTATAAAAAAGATCAAAGATCAAGAAAGAAATGATGTAAACCACAAAAGAATGCAAAAAAAATCCTTATATCCAAAATATTTGCCACATTAGTATGAAGCGAAATTTCAAGCTTTCCCAATTCAATTTATTTAAAATTACGTCAAAAGTTCTTCAAAATAAGAGTTGACAAGAATATTTTATTTTATTAAATAACCAATGAAAACGTACAAATAAAAAATGATATGCATGAACAAATAATCCCTTTCTATAAAAAAATTGCTTTTATCCTTAGTAACTGTTTCTTGTTTTTGCTCAAAATCAGTATATGGATTGTTTTAAGGATATGCATGCTTTTCAATTTGGCCTACTGAGTATGAGAGGGAGATAGAACAATAAATGGAGAATTAAATGTGCATTTCATTTTGGGTCATTGAATTTAATGGTCTCTCTCAAGGCTCAAACTCCTCGAGAGCCAAGAAAGAGATACTCCGTATTACAGAACTTCTATGCACAATTTTCTTCCTGGTTCCTTCTGTGGTCGCTCTCTTTGTCCGTTTTAAGGGATCTGAAAGGTTTATCTCTATAAATTCTCAGGTTCGACTCCTCTTCCTACTTGGGATTTTGATGCAAGTAAATAAAGTTGTTGCCTTTACTTTGTATGCGTGGCGGGGTTTACTAAAGAGACCAGTCTTTGAATTTCATGTTTTTTTTTTCTTCTCTTGCAGTTTTGTGTGATTCTTTAATGAATCTGCTGTTTCTTCTGTGATTTTATATTACTCAGTTAGAGCATTCTATCATCTAACTTTATATTCTTTTTTCTTTTCATCTCTTTTTCAGAGAGTGTCACACTGGGGGGTCTCTTGATCTTTGCCTATTGTGTATTTCCAGTCAGTGGAGCCCAAATATTTGAAAATATGCATGAACCAAATGGTTCTTGGGTTTTTTTCCCTTGAGATGTTGGAATTTGGTTTTTTAAAACAAATTAAAGGGCTCTCTCTCTCTCTCTCTCTCTCTCTGATTCTGCAAAGATATAAGATTTATTCCCTTTTGCTTTAATCTATAGGAGACATAGTGGTTTGATGGGCTGTAGTATAAAATTTAAGATTTAGTTTTTTTCTCTGTTCTTTGGACACACATACACTGTAATTGTCAGCAAAAAAGAAAAATCTTTCATGCATCTTTCACTATGGAACCCAATGTCGCTTTGTGCTGCTCTCATATTGGACAAGAAGGGCAAAAAGAGAGATGGATCATCTAACCATTCCCCGGAAAGAGTTAGGAGGAACCCATCATCAAGTCTGAGGAAGCTAGAAGAACACAGGATCAAGGAGGCACTTGAGGAAGCATCTGAAAATGGTTCTCTTTTTAAATCCCAAGGGATAGACTCGGGGGCCATTGAAAACCAGGATGAGAGCTTGGGGAGATCGCGGTCACTCGCAAGACTGCATGCCCAGAAGGAATTCCTCAAAGCCACTACTCTTGCTGCGGACCGCACATTTGAGTCGGAGGACTCCATTCCGGAACTCCATGAATCCTTCTCCAAGTTCCTCACCATGTACCCTAAGTACCAGGCTTCAGAGAGGGTTGATCAGCTGAGGTCTGATGAGTATTCTCACCTTTCCGGGTCCGATCCTAAGGTATTTCTTGACTACTGTGGATTTGGGCTGTTTTCATTTCTTCAAACGGTTCACTATTGGGATTCATCAACATTTAGCTTGTCTGAAATTACTGCCAATTTGAGCAATCACGTTTTGTATGGGGGCGCTGAGAAAGGCACCGTGGAACATGATATTAAAGCAAGAATTATGGATTACTTGAACATCCCTGAGAACGAGTACGGCTTAGTGTTCACTGTTAGCAGAGGATCAGCCTTTAAATTGCTGGCTGAATCATACCCCTTTCACACGAACAAGAAGTTGTTGACAATGTTTGATCATGAGAGCCAATCTGTTAATTGGATGGCTCAGGCTGCCAGGGAGAAAGGTGCGAAAGTATACAGCGCCTGGTTCAAATGGCCAACCCTCAAGCTCTGTTCAACAGATTTGAGGAAACAAATCTCAAACAAAAAGAGGAGGAAGAAAGACTCGGCTACTGGCCTTTTTGTTTTTCCTGTCCAATCTAGAGTCAGTGGAGCGAAGTATTCTTACCAATGGATGGCTTTGGCTCAGCAGAACAATTGGCATGTCCTGCTTGATGCCGGCGCACTAGGTCCCAAAGACATGGATTCACTAGGGCTGTCTTTGTTTCGACCAGATTTCATCATCACCTCTTTTTATAGGGTGTTTGGCTATGACCCGACTGGATTTGGATGTCTAGTTATAAAGAAATCTGTGTTGGCAAGCCTTCAAAATCAATCTGGCCATGCTGGCTCTGGTATTGTGAAGATCACTCCAGTTTTCCCTTTGTATTTGAGTGATTCAGCTGATGGTTTCCCTGAAGACGGTGAAGAGATTGAGGTTATCAACGATTCTCGGGCAGGGTCTCAGCTGCCCGCCTTTTCTGGCGCATTCACATCTGCCCAGGTCAGGGATGTTTTTGAGACAGAAATGGATAACGAAAATTTTTCAGACAAGGATGGAACAAGCACAATAAAAGATAGTCCCTCCATTCCAATGTATTACGAAGTAATCGAGTTTGACTTAAAAAAGTCAAACTAGATAAATACACATGATAATGTATAAAATATGTTATTTTTTTGGGAAATCAAAAATAAAATGAAAAATGTAATTTTATCACAAATGGAACAAGTACTCCATCCGTCTATTAAAGATCTTCTTGTTTATTCTTATGGTCTTTCGTTACTTCTACTCCGTGTGTTGTTTGCATGTGTTTATTGATCACTTGATAAAATAAAATATTTATGTCACCTCTTGTTTTGTAGATTTTTTTATGTAGTTTTTTAAATATGATTTTTTTTATTTTTTATTTCTTTATCAAAATGCAAATAAAACATTTTAAAAGTCACGAGATTTTACACGTTGATCAAAAAAGAAAATTTTTTTGGAGACGAAGAGAGTAACAAGTGACTTATTAGAAGTGCATTATTGTTTCTTTAAATCGTCAACCAGAAAAGGATTTCCAAAAATAAATTAAATAAACTTCACATTAGATTCCATTTCCTATTTTTAATACCAAAACGCCCAAGCGAAAGTCAACATCTTTTCTCTGTTTTATTAGTGTGGATAGGTTAGTGCCAGTCGTATCCTTCGACCATTTTCTCCATGGATATATAGGTGCTGGTGATAGGGTCAAACTCAAACGGGAAGAGAGAGAAGGAAAGAGTGAGGGAAGAAGATAATCAGTAGATTTATGTGATTCGGCGCTCAACTGCAGTAAATGGGCATTTGATTTCTACTATATTTAATTGCCTTCATGAAAGGCTCGAGAGATAGATTGATCTTCAAGCGATAGGAGCTGAGTTCTAAAGCAGGAAATTAAAAAAAAGTGGAAAGCTTTGAGAAGAAATTTCTCTGAACAAATTTCCTGCTACTGCGCCTTTTAGGGATCTGAAAGTTTGTGCTCTTCGAATTATGAGGTTTGACCCTTATTATGTTGCTTTTTTCTTCTTCTTCTTCTTCTTGCAGCTTTGTTTGATTTTCTTTCATACCTTTACACTGCTACTATTTGTTCGAGCTAGAGTCGAAGTTCTAGACCCATTGAAGAATTTCTCTTCTTATTTCGTTCTTTTCAGATTGCGGAGTCTCTTGTGTCTGAATCTCCGATAAAGGTCCAATTTTGGAGCTCTACTTGATCTTTATCTATTTTCGGGTATTTGGTTCTTGTATATCAGTGTTTGCGTAAGGCACACGATTCTTGGGTTAAGATCAGGGGGGTGTTCGGTTTTTGAATACAAAGGGCTCTCACTCTGAAGCTTTTAGATTTATTCCCTTTTGCTTTTCTGAAGATTGGGTTTAAAATTGCCCTCTTTTTTCTAGGGTTTTAGTGGGATGATAAGTACACTTTCTACCTGCCTCTGGAGTAGAATTGGAGTTTGCTTCAGGTGTTTGGTGTAATTGAAGGTGTAGAAAAAGAACGCGTTCATGCATCTTTCACTATGGAAGCCAATATCTTTCTGTGCTTCTCTGATCTTGGACAAAAAGGGTAGGAAGAAGAATGGGGCTAACCATTCCACGGAAGAAGTTAGAAACCCATCCATTCTGAGGAAGTTACAAGAGCACAAGCTCAGGGAAGCACTTGAGGAAGCATCTGAAAATGGGTCTCTTTTTAAATCCCAAGGAATGGACTCAGGAGCCATAGGAAACCAGGATGAGAGCTTGGGGAGATCGCGGTCACTCGCTAGACTGCATGCCCAGAAGGAATTCCTCAAAGCCACTGCTCTTGCTGCGGATCGCACATTTGAGTCTGAAGACTCAATTCCAGAACTCCATGAATCCTTCTCCAAGTTCCTCACCATGTACCCTAAGTACCAGGCATCAGAGATGATTGACCAGCTGAGGTCAGATGAGTACTCTCACCTTTCTGGGTCCGGTCCTAAGGTATTTCTTGACTACTGTGGATTTGGGCTGTTTTCATTTCTTCAAACTGTTCATTATTGGGATTCATCTACATTTAGTCTGTCTGAGATTACTGCCAATTTGAGTAATCATGCTTTGTATGGGGGCGCTGAGAAAGGCACTGTGGAACATGATATCAAAGCAAGAATTATGGATTACTTGAACATCCCTGAGAACGAATACGGCTTAGTGTTTACTGTTAGTAGAGGATCAGCCTTTAAATTGCTGGCTGAATCATACCCATTTCACACGAACAAGAAGTTGTTGACAATGTTTGATCATGAGAGCCAATCTGTCAATTGGATGGCTCAGGCTGCCAGGGAGAAAGGTGCCAAAGTATACAGTGCGTGGTTCAAATGGCCAACCCTCAAGCTCTGTTCAACAGACTTGAGGAAACAAATCTCAAACAAGAAGAGGAGAAAGAAAGACTCGGCTGCTGGTCTTTTTGTTTTTCCTGTCCAATCTAGAGTTACTGGAGCGAAGTACTCTTATCAATGGATGGCTTTGGCTCAGCAGAACAATTGGCATGTCCTGCTTGATGCCGGTGCGCTGGGTCCCAAAGACATGGATTCCCTAGGGCTGTCTTTGTTTCGACCAGATTTCATCATAACGTCCTTTTATAGAGTATTTGGATATGACCCAACAGGTTTTGGATGTCTTCTCATAAAAAAGTCCGTGATGTCAAGTCTTCAAAATCCATCTGGCCATGCCGGATCTGGTCTAGTGAAAATCACTCCGGTTTTCCCCTTATATCTGAGTGATTCAGTAGATGGCTTCCCTGGATTGGCCGAAGATGGTGAAGCAGGAGGGGATGGTAATGAGGTTATCACGGAATCTTGGCCAGCATCACAGCTTCCTGCGTTTTCTGGTGCCTTCACAGCTGCCCAGGTCAGGGATGTTTTTGAGACAGATATGGAGCATGAGAACTTCTCAGACAGGGATGGAACAAGCACAATATTCGAAGAGACAGAAATCCTATCTATCGGCGAGGTAATGAGAAGTCCTGTCTTTAGTGAAGATGAATCATCTGATAATTCTCTGTGGATAGATTTGGGTCATAGCCCATTGAGTTCTGACAGTGCTGGCCGTTCATACCACCAAAAGACATCCTCTCCAGCACCACCATTTTGGTTCTCCGGCAGGAAGAATGATAAGCGTCTGTCTCCTAAACCTACAAAGATATTGAACAGCCCAATATACGACAAGGAGTTGTCATTTGATGCAGCTGTGCGCTCGGTGTCTCAAGAGTTTGACCATTTCCAGGATATTCCTGAAGAAGAACAGTTCATTGAAGGAATTTTTCCATCAAGAGAATATGTTAATGAGATAGAAGAAGAAATGGAACCCAGAAGTCCTGGGAATGGTCTTAACAACATGGCTTCATCTTCCAAGCGCCTTCCAAATGGTTCAACGTCTGAGATATGTCGTGAGATTAAAGACAGTGCAATAAGAAGAGAGACAGAGGGTGAATTCAGATTGCTGGAGAGGAGGGAAGGGAGCAGGTATGGTGGTGGGAGATTTTTTGGCATAGATGAAGCTAGTCAGGTGCCTAGGAGCAGGGGAAGAAGGGTTTCCTTCACCATGGAAGATAGCTACAGGGATCATCTAAGCCAGCCTGGGGAGAGTAGTCTAGATGATGATGAGTTCCCAAGTAATGGGGAATATGATGGGCAAGAGTCAGACAGGAGAGAACCTGAGATTATTCTGAAGCATCTGGATCATATTAACATGTTGGGTCTCAACAAAACTACTATTCGGCTACGGTTTCTGGTCAATTGGCTTGTAACCTCATTGCTGCAATTAAAGGTTTCTGGATCAAATGGTGAGGACAGTGTCTCCCTAGTTCACATTTATGGGCCCAAAATAAAATATGAGCGAGGTGCATCTGTTGCATTCAATGTGAGAAACAGCAGCAATAGGGGTAGTATTGTAAAACCAGAAATTGTGCAGAAACTGGCTGAGTTGCACCATATTTATCTTGGGATTGGCATCCTCAGTCATATTCGGATTTTAGATGGTTCAAAACAGCAGCGCAGATCATCTAATCTCGACGACACTGGAATGTGCAAGCCAATGGATAATGGCAGACAGCATGGCAAAACTGGGTTCGTTAGAGTCGAAGTCCTCACTGCATCGCTTGGTTTTTTGACTAACTTTGAAGATGTGTACAAATTGTGGGCATTCGTCGCTAAATTTCTGAACCCAGAATTTATCAACCAGAGTCTCCTCCAAACGGTTGCAGAAGAGGCTGAGGAGGATTGATGGTTCAAGCCAAAAGGGAATTGCAGATTCAAGTCAGATTCTTAGCCCCTCTCTTCTTCTTGGACTCATGTAGGATTATTTGTTGATTCTTGTTTTAACTTGCTCAAGTTTTTTTCTTTTAAGTTCTGGTTTTTTGGTATTTTGATGTGGAGTTGGATTTAGAAATTAAATCTGTATTATCTCTAGGTAGTGATGATGAACTAAAGCATTTACTACAAAATGTTCTTAGTATCCTCCTCTGCATTTTGTTACGCGAGTATTTATCAGTATCTTCTTTAAATATTGTCATCTTGAACTGCTCTATATTACGTACGGAGTATATGTCTTCGTTTCTTCTTGCTTCAATCTGATGATTCAACAAATTATTTCTGGGGTTGTTTTTCAAGAACTTGTAGAATTCATGAAAGAATTGCAACATTCATTCCCCAGAGCCAGCTAGAGCTACTTTCATTCAAATCAACACATCAAAAGTACACCAAAATGATAAATAGGCCAATCTAATAACAGAAACACAAGAGAGTTATAATCTTAGTAAATCCAAAACAAGGCAAATCCCAGTTCATGGCCTATTCTTGCTTGATCAACCAACTTGCTTACTAACATTTGGGGAGCTTCTTGACCAACAGTCTCATAGTTCCATGGCTGTTGGGATTCAGCAAGGTGAAGGAACACTTGTCTCCAACTTCTATGTTGTTTGTGCTCCTGAAGGCCCCCCACCCTTTCACCAAAAGAACCCTATTATCCACCCTGTGAATCTCCACTTTCTCGCGACTCCTGTTTTCGCTGCTCATCATCTTTATCACCTTCTCATGAATGATTCCCGTCTCGCGTGCAAACCCCATTGGAACAAACTAATAAAATGAAGATACGGAGCAATCAAACCATCTTAGAATAGATGAAGTAAACAACACTGATATTAACAACCAAGGGCTGCCTTAAAATCACATTACATTACCAATTAATAACACAATCAATGAATTAGAGGGCAGTACATACTATGGAGTCTTTGTGGCTCTTCTTCACAACGATTTCGAAGTAGGGAAATTTTGCAGTGAGATTGACATTACTGAACCTCTTCTTCTGAAACCCCTCTTCCATTTCACTCTCAGTACTCTCAGTCTTTACTTGTACCCCTTTTCCTGAAAATGAATGGCATCTCCTAGATTTCTTGAAAACATTTGAAGAACAAAAACAGGTATAAGTTGAAACAACACATAGGTAATTACCTGAGGCTAGTTTTGACCTTTTGCTAGATCCAGATCCAGATGCATGTGCATAATTACAAGATGACTTCCTCTTGGATCTCCTTCCCTCTCTTGGGGCTTTAATGATCTTCTCATCATCATCATCATCATATGATGATGATGATGATGTGAATGCATCATGATCTGCTTTGGCAGTTTTATTGGTGGCTGGACTTACAATACGGCAAGAAGTTGTTTGGCTAAAGATCATGACTTCAAACTCAGAAATTCCTACAAGGAAAAACACTATAATGTCTCCAAACCGAAGGCTGTGATCTCTTGCAAAGCCTTCCCAATCCCTTTGGCAGAAGAAGGAATCCGTTCCATGTCGCTCAATCTTCATTCTCCTCAGCCCTCCATCTTCTGTCTTCAGTGTCCATGGACTCCAGAACAGCTTTTTCTCATGCGCTTCCACGAATGCACGAGGAACAAGCTGCTCCCAATCAACCACAAATAAATATATATAATGAATGAGAGATTGCCATGGTTATGGTAATTCACCCAACTCCATTAGCACATCAAAAGAAGTCATAATGATTCAAGTGGAGCCACTTACAGTTCTTTCACAGGAAATGGATGATTCTCCTAAGTAGATCTTGAAGAAGGAGGGACAACCATTGGAACCAACCTTCAAATTTGTTCCTCTTGAAGAACCTCTCATGATTCTTCTTTTGGTTAATTTTTCTTAGGCAAGGAAAATGAATTGATGGATTTATAGAAGGGTAATGGTCTTCAAATAATCCCAAGATCACTAGCCACAAAATGGAAAGTAGAATAAGAATGAAGAAGAGTTGCAGGGAGAATGAGGGTATATGTTTGTTGGAAGCTGGAAATCTTAACAGAGATTTTCTGCAGACTTCATCATCATTTGTCATCTCTGCTTTGGGCTTTGAGTATATGCATGCACTGTCTTGGGATATTATAGGCCGGACATCACATCTGGAAAACTTAATTAAATGAGTACACAAATTAAAATGGGGAAAAATGGAAAAATCATATATGCTCATCACAGGAGTATAGAAATTTTCATCACACATTTTTTTTAATCCTATTGAAAAGTATGCGGCGTAGACCATTAGGGTGTGTTTATGGAGCGTGAAGAGGGGCTTGACCACCCTCATTTACATGCTTAAGGTGAAGGGGTGTTGTCCCAATTCATGTGATAGTCATCGCTCCGTGACGGGCTCTTCTCCCTTCCAATATTTTTTTATTATTTTTCAACCAATTAAAATTTGATAGATATTCATACTTCATTACTTTTCTTCACATCCACTGTAACACTCCTATTTTTACCAATATCCTCAAACCACAAAGTCTCGTCATGTTCTTAGCCTTCCAAGTAGCCCAATTTTCTTATTAGCTAGACTGCTACAACATAATGCAACAACTCCATCAGTGCATGGGGAAGCAGTAGCACAGTCGCACGCCCCTTTATAGTTGAGATGACTATCAACTGTTTTTGTTTTTTTGAAATCATTTTTTTCTTTTACACAATTATTCGTCTCGAAGTCTATACCAGTGATTCGTGGTGATTTAGGTGTTGGCACTCAAAACAAATAATCAAGGGAAAGATAGTTTATTTGTAAGTGGTCAATCGGTTAGATTCAAAATAGCTCGGTTGTCCATTTCAAGGGAGTGTTAAGGTGTCATCCCACATAGGAAGTCTAAGAGTAAAACAATCGGTATATAAACTTTTGAGTTGAACTAACTAATCGATTGAATTCAATATTATAAATAAGTGAAATTTGCACTAAATAAGACTAAAACATAATGACTTTCCTAATGTAGGACTTAAACTTTTTTATTCCCTGAATAGGACTTAATAATGACCTAGTGAAAGGAATAATGTCCAACAATGATGAACATTTAGTTGAATAATGACTACTTGACAATGACCAAAGGTCCTATATTGGGAAATAAAAACATATGGTCCTATATTGGGAAAGTCATTATGTTTTAATCCTGTAAATTTCTCATATTATAATCTGTTTCGACCCAAGTATCTTAAGCCCAATCCAAATCCTCTTTCCTCATCCTAAATTCTATCACATTGTACTTCTCTACACTCCCCCATTAACCAATTATAACTTGCATAAGTACCATATTTTTCATCTGGGTTTATACCAATAAAATATCTTTTGTTAATACCAATAAATTTATTTAATTATAAATTAAAGTTTATCCACTCTAATTATAAAAAAAATTGAAATGGGAAAATACTTTGGATCAAAGGTAGCAATGCGTACAAATTTTTATACTCTTATGTTATATTGGACAAATACTTTATAAAGTGATACTCTTATGTATTAAGTATTCTTATTAATGGTAGAATTTATATTTTAATTATTTTCATTATTTATTTCATAATTGTGGTAGGAGTTTCTTTAATATACTCCTTCATTCCTAAATAGATTACATTTTTTCTCTTATCTCGATAACTTTGGTTTTTTTACGTGATTTCATTGAATATTTGATTAAATAAAATATTCTTGTCGCCTTTTGTTTTGTAGAATTTTTGACATAGTTTTTTAATATGTACTCGGGTAATTTTTATATCTTATTGATATATCAATTTGTAAATAAAATAATTTCAAAAAGTAGGAAATTTCGCTTCGTAACACACAATTTGTAATCTGTTTAGGGACGGAGAGAGTATAATGTATCATGTACTCTATCACTCAATGATCAATATTATTATTTTAATACTCCCTCCGTCCCAAAAAGCTTGTTACGCTTAGAAAAAACTGCGTCCCGTAAATTCCGTTACATTTTTATTAAAAAACCACTTTTACCCCTACTTTTTCATACCCTACCTATCACATCATATTTTTTTCTAATAATATATCCATCACATCCTACTTTTACCCATCACATCAAGGGTATTTTTGGAAAGTCAATACCAAAATATCACTCCCTTAATTTTCCCAAAAGTCAAACCATCCCGTTCTTTTTGGGACGGAGGGAGTATTTCAATACGGTATCAAAGTTTAAAAATACTCCATAATAATGAAGCATCGGGGTACACTGTAAGTTCGTGGGCACGCACACAGAAGCAGATGATGCAGACGGTGTTACAGCGTCTACTGGGCAGAATGTTGTAACTATAAAATGCGTAAAAATAACACCAGATATGTTTATGCAGTTCGGAGAAACCTCTCCTAATCTGCGGGGCCCACGTCCGTGTAATAGCTCTCCACTAAATCACTAGATGCAAGTTACATCGGTACATAACAACATGATGAGACACCCTTCTCCGAATTGCTATGACAAAACTTCTAATCTAGGATTTCTAACCCGAACTCTGTTCAGATCCGCTTCGGCTATCACATCTCCACCGAGATCACGAGGACAAACGTGTTGGCAGCCCTCTCCTTAAGCTCTGGTTCATCTCCTGGTTGTCACGATCTGTTTGGCGTTGAAGATCTCCTCCTTCATGTAGATCGTGACCTTCTTCACGCATGGGAAGCTCCGAGACGCGACGGGAACGCTCTACATCAGCGTATATTTTGTATTTTCCCTCTCAATCGCTCCAAGTAATTCCCAGGGACCTGCTGCGTATTTCTAGGCTTCTCTCAACACAATCCTAGTAGGAATAGGATAGTAGAAGTTGGCTTGAACTCTACTTCCTTATTCTTGATCCACAAGTAGCCTAAAGAGTTGGAATTCCTTAGCATGTACAGCTGGAGTTATTATCATGTAATCTCAGTCCCAATAGGTCTCTATATTAGAGTGCAGCTTAAAATCCCGTGCTCAGACCTCGATCCCGAACTGTGTGTTGCAGCATCGTGCTGTAGCATCTTCTGTGTCAACCTCGAAAATCGCAGCAACTCTAGAAGTCTAAATAAAATAAACCTCTCCTAACAAATAGAGGTTTCTACCTAGTAAAACACCTAACAAATATGGAATTCTATTTTATCAAAAGATTAGCCAACACCATGGATACCAAATGACGTATCCCAATTCTAGACTAAAACTTTTACAGACACACAAGCACTCAATTTTTCTGTGCACAAACATTGAGTGTAT